AGCCTGCCGTAAGGGTCCGCACACACATTGTGCGCTCCTTCTCATTTATTTGTTTTAACGACAGCTCTTTTTTAGCATGGAGGGCAGTTGGAAGGCTGCCCTGTGACATGAAACTTGCATAACCGATACTATTTCTTATATAAGCCGTAACTCTAAGCTAAATTAAATACACACAAAATTTTAGAAGGGTGCGTTTATTTATTCGGCATTCATCTCCTCCAGGCCGACTGGCAAAGTGGGGTTTTCTGCTGGAATGTGGGTTTAGAAACAAAGTAACACCAAACTAAAACACAGCTCCTGGGTTTTACCAGAGGATTGCAGACAAGGCCTGCTGACTTTCTTGATAATTTATCCTACTCTTTGCTGTCTGTTGCGCTCACTTTAGGATCCCAAAGCCGGGAAACAGCAAACCAGCCGGCTCGTTTTTCTTGTAACTTTTAGGTTGTGACTTTGTTCACAAGAGTGTTCACGCTGATCTTAATTTTAATTCTTTATAATTGGTCAAAACCCTGCATTATTATGTTGAGATTTTTTTACGTTGAAGGATTTCTTGTTCCATTTTCAGAGGAAACTTTAAAATGAAGGTTTAGAAGACGAGATTCTGCTTGCTGCTGAAGTAAAATAAATACCATTCTAAGCAAGATCTTGGAGTGCAGAGTAACATCACTAGTTTTGTTTTTAGAACGAGCTGAAAGCTCTCACTTTGGAAGAGTTAAAATGATTGTGGGTGGGGTTTTTCTATTTAGTGCGAGGAAAACTATAAGTAAATGACTTTTGCAGACCAATGAATTACTCAGTAGTTACACCTGTTGCTTTTAAATTAGTGGTAGTATTCTATTTTAATAATAAATCTATGTGAATTAAGGAAAATCATAACTGCTTGTAAAGATCAGGGATTTAATTGATGTAAAAAATGTGTCCTGATTTGATGAATAAAATATATTAAGATATCACTAAAATAAAAATTGATTTCTAGTCTTTAAATAGCCACTCTAATCCAGAATAATTTTCAGTTTTCTGGTGTGATCTGACATTTCCTTTTTCCTGTGCAGACTCATTTTATTAAAATACTGAATAATCATTTAAAATGACAAAAAAATTACAACTGGAATAACACTCCAGATTTTTTCGTGCATTTGGATCTTTTGTGCTTACAAAGAATATTTTAGTCATGAGCTGTGGAAATGATTTTGTGGAAGCTCTTAAGAAAATTGGATATCCAAAAGCTGATGAGCTTAATGGGGAAGATTTTGACTGGCTATTCGAGTCTTCGGAAGACAGATCGTTTCTGGAGTGGTTTTGTGGAAATGTAAATGAGCAGCATGTGGTATCTGAAAAGGAACTACAAGATTTTGATAATCTTCTTGAGTCTGGTAAGCCCATTTTGGAAGGAAACGCACTGGATGAAATCCTTAAAACCATGAAGCCTGTGGATTCAAAGGACAGTAGCCAAGAGGAGGAGGAAGAAGAGGAGGAGGAACTGAAGAAATTAGAGGATGAACTTCAAACTCTTCAGAGGTTAAAAAAACTCCAAATTCATCGACGTAATAAGCTTCAAATGATGGTTTCTGCAAACAGCCATATGTTACAAACATTAAAAAGCAAAGAGGAAGAAGCACGTAAAGATTTGAAAGAAGGGCTGGAAGTGTTTACTGCAGCAAATAATAAGCTTAATAGTGAACTGCTGTCTCTTCTGGATGCAGCGAAGAAATTTGCCTCTTTATTCACTGCTTCAGAATCAGGACAAGGGTCGGGTCTACATCCAGTGTTTTTTTCCCAGCTTCCTCTGGACAAGTATTTGGCTCAGGAAGAACAAAGCACTGCAGCACTTACCTCGTACATAAAAAAACGTTTTTATCAAGATATGTCTGAATCGGTTGAAAATTCACACGAGGGCAGCTTTCACCTTGCAGATATAAGCGAACAAGTCACTTGTGATGAGACTAATGAAGTTTGTGAAGAGAGTCAAGAGTTGGCCAGGCTCCAGACAGCGTATATTTGTGCTCAGTATCAGCTGATTCAGATGCAAGCTAAAGAGGAGAGCATGAATTCAGCTATAAAATGTGCAGAGAGCATGCTGCAGTCCTTGAACAGCAAGGTAAGCCACAAAAGGTGATAGAATGTAGTGGAGGTCTAGGCAGGCATGCTCATCTGGATCTAGTAAAAGGAATTGCTGAGTTGCTGTTATTTCAACTATTTTTATATAGTGAAATTGTACTTTTAGGAAGCTTTAGTCTGGCTCGCAAAACTCCTTTTGTGAAATTGCTCCAGTTTCTATAGTTGGAAATTTTTCAGTATGATGGAGTACCTTTAATTCTACTTTCCAGAATTCCAACCTTAAAAAACCCTAGAACTTAGTAGTACCTTCCTTGTTTAGTTTAACTTTGAAATTTCAAATTATAACTGGTCTCAGTTGTTTATACAACACAGAAAAGCTTAACTTTGGTTGAAATTTTGTGGTGTTGAGGAGCTAATGTGATAAATATCTTCCTGTTTATATTCCATAGCATAAAAAAGTTTTAATTCACTGGCTCTTCTGAAACTCAAGTATTTGTACCAAATTAATCTTGTAGTTGAAGCCCCAGAAGTGTCTCAATGAGTGAGGGGCAGATATAGCTACTGGAATTTAAGAATGTGAAGAAATCTTAACAAAAAGAAAAATATTAGCTTCTGCCAGTCATGGACTAAATTGAGGCATCATATCAGTTTGTCTGTTTTCATTTATGGATGAATGACGTATAGGACTTGATTGATTAGAATAACTTGAAAAAGATTGATTCTGATAGCAATGTTGATAGTCATTGGACTGAATATAAAAAATTATGCTTACGTGTGAGACTTCTGTTAGACATGCTTGAAATCTGTGTGCGAAGTAAAATACAGCTCTTCCACTTTTAACAGGTAAACTGTTTCCTGGCCCTGCAATAGAATGAAATTATTTCAACAAATAGTTAAGAGATAGCTGTTTGTTGAAATACTTTTATTTGGGGTCTACTTTGTAAATCTGTATTTGCCTTATGTGGTAAAGTTCTGTAAAACTGATTGTGGGGTTTTCATTCAATGTTGTAGACAGAAAAGATGCAGTGATTTTAATGTAACCTAAGTACATGAAACTTGTGTGAGCTGAAGAAATGTGTTAGGGAAGTGTCTTGGAGGGAACCATGAAGAAATTGACAATTTTTTTGTTTAATGCAGGATATTGGAAAACAAGAGAATCTCGATGCCAAAATATTTAGTTTAAGTGATGAAATTTTAACAATTAAACAAGATATAACTCAGATAAACAATGAAGAGCTGCTTCCCCTTCTGAAAGAGAATGCACGACTTCTGAGCGCGCCAGTGGTGAAAGGATGCTTGGATCGTCAGATTGCTCAGCAGGACTCCTACGCTTTGAGACAGGATGAAATATGCAGGCATTTGATAAGACAGAAAGCATCGTTTGAACTTATTGAGCTAGCCTGTGAAATGGAGCTGAAGAAACATAAGGAGATCTGCTGTCAACTTGAGAATTTGGTAGAATCTCTGAAACAGAGCACTGATGAGTTGCAACAGAGACTACAGGTGATAGCTGAGCGAGCTCAACATGCAAAGCCCAGAAACACTATTAGTTCAAAGGATGGGTTCTCCTGCAGGTAGGGATTATACTCACTGCTGAACTTTGACTTGCTTTGAAATAATACTGGGGAGACAGAGGCTTAGGCAAGCGAAGCTTTTTCTGTTGCTACGTTCTTAGTCACTTGCTATAGCTAATTAGTATTTTGAATTCTCCAGAACTGAAGCCTTCAAGATATGAGACTTGCTTACCCTTTGACATTATTCACAGGTTTGCCTGAGGAAAAACTGTTCAGTTATCAGTGTCGTTAATATTGCTGAAGCATTCCCAAGCAATATCCAGAATATAGTTAATGTTTAAGGCCAAACCTGTCTTGCATGGTGCCCTGATCTAGGACCCCTTCAAAGTTGTTCTAGAAGTCCAGATGTAGAGAGGTATTGATAACAGTGATTTCCCAGACCATGTGCATGGCCTCATCATCTTAGCCTGCAAAAACACCCGTGTGGTAGAGATGAGGAATGGCTCCTTGAATATATGGAACACGGCTAGTTCGTTTTTACTGCTCCATTTGCCATCTGGCTCCAGTGTCCTGTCAACAGTGTAGGAGCCCGGTTGTTCACCATCTGAGTAATGAAGTCTCCTTGTAGCTCAGGTGATACAGCAGGAACGAGTGCTGTGTTGCTGTCGCTTCAAGACTCTAAACCTTTTGATGAGGTGTATTGTGTAATTATAGGTGTGTTAGTGTCAGACTTTTTCTTCTTTAAAATGGTGCTTTAAGTGGTTTTTTTTAATGCTTGTTAAGAGATAGCTGAGTATGGTCTTGCACAGTGAATAACTGCATTCATTTTGCTCCTCTTGTGGGTTTGCATTGGCAACTCATAACTTTTTTGTTCAAGTCTGTTATTAAGTCTCCAGATCACTGGCTACTTTTTTACTTTTTTTTTTTTT